GGTGTACACAGACACAAAAAAAAACACATATCATTAGTAATTCAGAACATTTTTCACTTCGTTCAGAATCTAAAATAAAATATATAATTCCACTAATTACGGGTACCCAGATAAAAGGGCGAAATAGTACTTTCAATTAGTGTTCAGATTTATAGACAAGCATTATACATTATTGTTCTTAAAAAAGTTTTATTTATTTACTAACAGCTACCCTCAAGTGATCATGAATGGAGATCTATCGCAGAAGAATACAATAAACGATGGAATTTTCCTCACTGTGTCGGCGCCATCGACGGCAAACACGTCGTAATCCAGAAACCAGAAAACACAATAAGCGAGTTTCATAACTATAAAGGAACAGACAGTATTGTTCTATTGGGAATAGCGGATGCTAACTACTGTTTTACGTATGTCAACGTTGGATGCCAAGGCCGTATCTCAGATGGAGGAGTATTTAAAAATACTTCGTTCTCTAAGAAACTCGAAAAAAATGAACTTGGTTTACCGGAATGTGAAGCACTGCCTGGTCGTATGATGAAACTTCCTTATGTCTTAGTTGCCGATGATGCGTTCGCCTTATCTGAAAATATTATGAAACCATACGCCACAGATTTGAACAAAGGATCCCCAAAAAGAGTATTCAACTACAGGTTGTCCAGAGCGCGTCGTATTATAGAAAATACTTTTGGGCTGCTTTCAGCCGTGTTTAGAATATTCCGCAAACCCATAGAAATAAAAGTTGAAGAAACAATAGTTAACATTGTTTTGGCTTGTGTTTACCTTCACAATTTTTTAAGAATGCAGCCCGATTCCGCAAAGTTTTATTCAACATCAGGGTGTTTTGATAACGAAGATTCTAGCACAGGAGAAATTATTCCAGGATCATGGAGAGAAATAACCTCTGGTGACACTGGTTTAAGACAACTTAGATCAATTCCACGAAAACCAGCGTCCAACGCAACAAATATCAGAGAAGAATTTAAATCATACTTCATGTCTGAAATAGGATCATTACCATTTCAGGACAAATACTTGTAAAATATTTTAATTAATTATACAATATTAGATTATAAGAACTTATGATGCAAATAAACTAATAGACTAAACTACTGCAAGCTAGTCTGATGCTGAGTATACTATATAAAATGCACTAAGAAAGAAAACTTACTTCTTCGTTGTTATTTAGGCTTGCAGGGTTATCATCTTTCTCACTTTCCTTAGTCTCCCTTGGCGTTGTAGCGTCCGAAATAAAAAGTAGCGATTTATATGCGAACCACGAGGAAGTATAGTTTTCATCCGTTCCTGAACCGGATTTCTTTTTTAAAACTTTTTGGCGTTCTTTAGAGAAGTATGAACGCAAACTCTTTATTTTCAATTTTACAGCTGCCATGTCCATATTACATTTTTTGCTGATCTCGTCAAGAGCATCATTTCTTTTAATTTTATTAGTGTAATCTTTATGATTGTTATCCCACAGTAACTGGAACGATCTACATTAATAATGATTAGTAATAATGATAAATATAAATAATTTATATTATACTATATTATATTATTAGCTGCGGCGCCAGACATTTAAAACTGAAGGGAAAAGAAAGGGCTAAGAAAAAGGTCAGTAAGTGGATGTCACTTTGGTGTGCAGTAGGTTACAAGTGAGTCACTGTGTGTCATAGTGTTAAATGTTAATTCAATGATATTATTACATTGTATAAGAAAAACGATTCTGAGCGAAAACGGTCAGTCAGCTTATGATATTACCAAGTATATTTAATGATATTATTGTGAATAAAGTAATTTATATATTATAACCTATTTACGTGGAACCTTGTTTTACATTTTAAATCCTTAGCTATAAAAGTTAAACATTTTATAAATCTTTAAATACAAAATAATTATTCAATTTTAAATTTGATACATTTTGTAAAAATTCGATCTTTAAATGCTTATAAAAAAAACTGTGACTAAGGATTTTTAATATTTTTTATCTGACTTTGAAACAATATACTAGGAGCCTTCTATTAAATTTTCAAGCTGTTTTAGCCAAC